AAGAATTGGATCGAATCCTTCCCGAAGACGCCATACTTTGCGGCCAATCATTGAACTGTGATCTTCAGGCGCTACAACTCATTCATCCGTATATTATCGATACGAGTGTTATATACAACACGTCAGGTCTGAGACCAATGAAACCGTCTCTAAAATACTTGAGCAAAAAGTTTCTCAATCTTGAGATTCAAAACAATGACTCGAGTGTTGGCCACGACTCGACTGAGGACGCGGTGGCGGCCATGAAATTAGTGAAACTGAAGCTAAGTATGGGTCTGGAGTTCGGCGATCGGGTCCTCTCCGACCTCGACTATGGCTATGAAGACAAGCATTTTCTACCCATAAATAGTTATTTAAAGAAATTTAAAACAAAACTCAATGTTTTCTACGATTACTGCGATATTGAAAGCAGTGATAAATCGCTCATAATTTACAGCTCTTCGCACAAATCAAATCATGAATTGTCTGAAACTATCAATCAATGCATTCATTCAGATAAACAAATCTGTATTCTTCTCAACAAATCCGGCAAATGTTATATAAAATATTAATTAATTCTGTATTAAATAGAGTTTATAATTAAATTATATTAATTTAAATAAATGTTTATATTTATGGCAAACGATATCAATGTTTGGCCATATCTTTCAAATGGACTCAATTTTTGAATTTTAAAAAACATTTGAAAAGTTTGAAACTTTTTGATTGCAATTCAATTGATGAGTGAATGTCTCGGTATTTACATGTTATGTATTGATTGTATTGAGATAACAATATGGGAGGGATTAGTGGAGAACACGTGACACAAACAGTGCGGCCAAAGGCTGTGACGTAAGCCTCGATGTGATTGTTTAGGCGCTCTTCACAAACACATCACTCCCTAAGACATTGTCTTCAAACACATCCCAAAACATGGATTTGAGTCCATTTATTGATAATCCAATGGTGGACAAGACGTTTGAGTCAGTCATACCACCGGTCGCTCTTCAGGAGGAATGCATTGCCGGCATCGACGAGGCCGGGAGGGGACCTGTTTTGGGTGATTAACACATCTCTGATGGACTTGTTTTGACACAAATGGTCACTATTTTTAGGTCCAATGGTTTACGGTTTGGCGTTCTTTCCCTTATCTCAAGAATCACTTCTTAAAAAACTAGATTTTGCCGGTATTTCGAGATCAATATAAATGTCACTTCCAGTGCTTAATGGATGTGTTATTTGTCCACAGATTCCAAGACATTGACCGAAGAGAAAAGAGAGGAGATCTTCGAGAAGATCGGCAAAAATGAATACAAAAAGATCGGTTACTTAGCGACTGTCTTATCGCCGGTCACTATAAGTAAT